CATAGGAAGCTAGGGACAGCGCTGGTAGAATGTTCGAAATATTACTTATAGGGAAAATGAAATATTACTTAAGGTGTTATGACAGTAGCATCGTAGTACTAACAGTTACGGTTATGATTCAGAAAAGAGCAGTGAAATAGGAAATTTTTAAATACATAGATAAAAGGGAAATAGTTTGAGACGGAAGAAAAGCATACCAAAGCTATCAATATGAAAGAGCATGAAAGACGAGATTTCCTAAAACAAAGATTGTTAGCTTCATAACCTGAAAAATGAATTACGACCTCTACTAATGATGCGATGATGTTAGGGCTAACGATATGGTGATGATGCTGCTAACGATGCGGTTGAAGATAGAGATCTTTCTGATTTGCGCTTACCGGCTCATCGTAACTAGTTTCTCACGTCGACACGCCTTATCGTAAATATAGTGAAAGAAGAAAACTTGTACAGGTTTACAAGGAAACACTCAAAGTGATGGCCAGGTTAAAATTTGTATACCATTATGCGTTTGAGCCTTTTTTAAATGACTTTGGGCATTAGACACATGAAATAGTCATTGAGCTGATAAACAGCAAATACTGACCAAGTATGTTATTTGTTATCGGCTAAATATCGTTTAATACATTCGGTAATACGATCTTCTTAGAAGAAAAAAAATTGAAGCAATACAAGTAATTTCCCGGAAGAAGTGTACATCGTCGTTGATGATGGACAACCTATGTGAAGGAATTGGGGATTTTTACATTTTGGACAACCTCTTTCCCAACGCCTTTTCAGTACATGCAACTCCTTCCGGTAACAACACCACTCCCACTATCCATATGTCTACCACTTCTATTCTACTTTGAACTCCCCTGCCAAAATCACCTTTGCCGACTCTAAATTCGTCAGAACGTATTACTGTTAGATCTCCAACCGTCGGAAACGCCTCAATTTTGTACACCCATTTTCGAGAAACACCTAGTTACATTTCAGAGGAATTTTATTTTTCAATGACATTTACCAAATCAGTATAAATATAATATATATTTATATTGATTACCCATAAAAATATTGAAAACTAGCAAGGACCTCTTTGTTATTATAAGATATAATGATTCATCATATAACTTATACATAGCAAAATAATAAATACTTGTAATCCAGATATTCTAGTTGAGTATTTTATAATTATCCATGACACCTCGAAATTAGCTTTCTGGTTGAAATAAAAGAATTTAAAAGAGGAAACTCTTCCTAACATGTGTCTTCATGCGGAGACCTCCGGACAAATGGGCATGCGGGAGGCCCTCTCTGTGAGATACCACACAGGGACCGGGTAGGTTCAAGCCACTATAAATTACTGATGGGATATATTACACGCCTCGCACACTAACGTAACTCCGCTTTCGCCAACGCCTCTCTCTCCGCCAAAACATTCCCACCACCGTCACACTCGTCAATCCGACTCTCGTGAGAGAAACCCCACCAACGCCACCGCCACCAACGCTACCTTCGCCAACGCCACCTTTGACATTTCCACTTTCGCCAACCCCAATTTAGCCAATTTAGCCTTGAACGGCACCCCACCAACGCAATCTTTGCGAACACCACATGCGCCAACCCCACCTTTGCCAACTCCACTCCGCGAGCGATATCTTTGTCAATGCCATCTTCGCCAACGACAACTTCGCCAAAGCCACTCCGCCTACGCTACCTTCTCCAACCCCACCTTCGTCAACACTATCTTCTCCAACTCGACCTTCACCAACGTCACCTTCGCCAACACGACCTTTGCCTACGCCACCTTCATAAATCCTCTTCGCCAACGTCATCTTCGCCATCGCTACCCCTGGCATTGCCATCACCACATACGCCAATACCACCTTTTCCAACGCCAACGATACATTTGCAAATTGCCGTCTTCGCCAACGTCGCCTTCGCCAAAGCCACCTTCGTCAACGTCGCCTTCACAACTCCCTCTCCGCCAACGCCACCCACGCCGTCGTCACTCTCCTTCCTCTTCCGCTCTCTCCTGCCAGCCTCCCCGCTTCATCTGTCCCAGACCTCCGCCGACAAAGCGCCGGGGCGCGCGCAAACACGTGTTTCCCGGAGGCAGGGGGAGCCTGTGGCGGGGCGGCGGCGGCGGCGCGGGATTATATTCCTCCACGCGCCCTTACCCTCGCCCTCGCCCTCGCCCTCGCCCTCGCCCTCGCCCGCGCCCTCGCCCGCGCCGCCTCCTGATGGAAAACAAACTTCCAGTCTTTGTGAATTTGCAGCGCGGCCGCTTTGCCTCCGCACCCGCCGCCGGCCATTTGCAGTCGCTGCCGGCCCGCCGACGCCGCTGCTGCAATTAACATGGGCAGAAGCCCGGCTGGCGGCAGGGCGGGAGGAAGCCAAGCCGGGGACAGATGCTGCTGCTGTGGCTGCCTTCTCCTCCTTTCGCCGCGGTTCGCCCCTCCGCCGCCGCGCCGCGCCACTAGTGAATGCAATACTCCCCGAGTGACGGGGTAGTTCAACGCTCTCCACGCGCCTGCCCTTTCATGCAACGTTGGCTGAGTATTCCCCTGCCGAGGTTACAGGCACAGTCGGCTGTGGCCGCTGGGGGCGTGGGTTCGAATCCCGCAGGGTCGGATGAAGAGAACTAAGCGCCCTGTATCTCGTGACTGTGTATTGTAATGTCAGATTTACTCTTTGTTAAATCCGGCGTTGTTCAGCACAGAAGGTCATAGGCGTTTAAAGAGAGCAAGACCTTGTGCCATGTCGAGAGGAAGAACCTCTTTTAAAAGCCATGTACGCACAAAGCAGTCATATTATTCCGTATGTTTATTATTTCAATGAAAGTGTTAATTAAAACGTTCATAATATATCTTCACAAAAAACGACACGTGCGCCGGTCTAGTGACCGAGATCGTTAGGACAGTAGGGCCGTAGCGGACCAGAAGACCGTGCTCGAGTCCCGCCACGGGCATGCGTGTGTTTGTGTATGTCTATAAGTGTGTGCCGTCCTTTCGGCCGTTTCATCCCGCACCATCATAATCTTATCATTCATACTCACAGTAACCACCTTAGGGGATAAAAATCGCGATTCAGCTAAAATGATGATTCCCCTCGCCAGAAAGGTACTTGTTCCTGATGAAGCAGAATGCACGTCTAAGTTGGCCTATAAGCGAAAAAAAATAATAAAATGACACGTGTTCCTTTGGAACCTGTTTACTGTCATCAAATGGACGTTTGTCAACTACTCCTCCTCGATTTGGGTTCTACAGATGAGGAATTTCAAATGAGCTACCATATGGGTGCTCAACGCTCTTTTTAACTTTTTTTCGTCGCCATAAACCTGGCATCAGACGCAGCTGTCCTTTACTTGTATCATCGTCTGACTGATCAAGTACAGAATTTGATTACGATGGGGATTGACAAAGAATTTAATTTTGCTGTGCATATTTTGGGGATTTTCCACCTTTTGAAAATTCACCACTTTTGTCGGATTGAGCTCATTTATTTATTTATTTATTTATTTATTTATTTATTTATTTATTTATTTATTTATTTATTTATTTATATTTAGATCATTTTCTCTTGCATTTCATTTACCGTATGGGAAGAAAAATTATCAGATATATAAAAAGGCAATCGAAATATGCGAATTGGGCTCTTTTTTATTTTTGGGTTAATTTTTCTTTCTGGACAAATACAATATATTCATTTCTTTTGTAAATAAAAGAACAATTTACATGTTTCTGGAGTTCTTTTATGCTTCTGCGATGCAAACTTTTGCCTAGAAAGCATTTTTTAAATCCACTTTTGAGTACTTATTGCGACTCAACTATTCGGAATATCCCATAGTTTATGAGACAAAATATGTTTAAAATTGTCTTAATAACTTATTTCCGTAGTTTCGACTTCTAGTCGCCGGACATTCTGTATAAACACATTGACATTTGTCTCTGATTGTTAGGCAATGTCTGTGCATAAGCGCTCCCTAAAAAGCATGGGAAGATGTCGTATGAATTTCAGTTATATGGAAATTCTTACATGTTATTTGACAGCAGTCATCATTTTGGACCCCTCTTAATGCCATAGAAGTTAGTAACATTTATTCTGACACCTTCTATGGAAATCAGTCGTCAATTAAAGCTGCAGTCTAGGAGCGTGGGTAATCACAGGCGGGAGCACTTAGTCCCTCCGCTACTCGCCCGAAAACCGCCGAGAGTGCACATCTCCCGGATGGCGTTGGTGGGGGCGGGAGGAGACAGTTGGGTGAGGGATTGCGCGGGGCGGGGGAGAGAGAAGGGGTCGAAGTGGAGGTGAGAGTAGAGAAGGAGAGCAGGTTATGGCGGGGATGAAGGTTGGGACGTGGGCGACGGCGGGTGTGGGGTTGTGGCGCTGGAGGGGGCAGAGGTGAAGGTGAAGAGGATCGGAATTTTGCTTGGGTACACCTGTCTTTCATAATGTATATGAACCCATATCGTCAAAAATAGCAAGAACAGGGAAACGTGGAAGGCTGAAGAAAAACAAGTGATTCAAAGCATTGGTGAAAGGAAGTGCTAAATGTGAATGAGTGCTAGTGTAAATACTAAAGTAAATGTACGTGTAAAACTAAAATAAGAGTAAATGTGTAAAAAAAGTGAAATTCAAAGAGACCAACCATAATGACACTTGAATGTATCTGATAAATGAGTACATTTAGTATTAAATTAGCAAGTTGTGCAAAGTACAAGCAGGCTGGCACTAGCTAGCAGTACTGTAGTGATAACACTAAATCTTTTAAAGACTGATTCATCTAAAGAGACAAGCAGAACCACCCCTGTGTTCTGACAGGAGGCCTCTGCCCTTTCAGGGATTCAATGGGCTTTTATCATCAACACATCGGCGAGAAGGCTGCGGAAAGAAATCCTTAGGACTTCCCCGTCAAAAATGCAACCGCTGATGCACTGGGCTAGCTCATACGGTGGAGGGAGGCCGCAGTGGCGGCTGCGGAAACGGCGGCGGCGGAGGCAGAGGCAGAGACAGCGATGTCGCCGCTGGCTGGCGACGACGGCGGAGTCTGTTGCGGCGGCTGCGTGGGAGATGAGGTCGCGGAGACGCTCATCTCGGCGATGCGCGCGGCCGCCGCCAAGTGCGGACAAAGGGGGCGGGGCCGCGCACCTGTTTGTCCGCGTTACGCGCGCCATTTCGCGTGATTAAAGGCGGCGGCGGCGGCGGCAGCGGGGGCGGCGGTGACTCCTCATTCTTCTCCGGAGCGCGCGCCTCATGCTGCGTCAGCACCACTCCCCCCCCCCCCACACCCCCTCCGAAGTTCTCTCCACGATTACATTGTCCGAGAAGCCCTCCGCAAACGGGCTTTCTAATCTAGAGTTTGAATGCAATTGTATGCGTATTTAATTTATAATGCTTCTCATATTTATTCATTTATTTATTTTTCCTTTTTTCGTATACTTATGTATTTCCCTATATAGTATTTGAGTAACTGCGTGTGTGCGGATTCGTCACTTATCGGTCACTTCCCATGCATTGATTGAGGCATATGGAGACATTCGACGCGTTTTAGTCTTCCTGTGGGAAACTCATAATTTGCTTTTAGATCCGGTCGGAAGATTCTAAAAAACGTCCTTTTGCGCGTTTTTGCGATTTTGTGAGTAGTTGGATAATTAAACAAAGAAACGTCATTTAAATATATCTATGTAGGTAGTGTTAATGAACGTCGAGTACCCAGAGGCAATTTTCGCCCCAATACCATAATTTTCTTCTACGAGGATGGCAACACTGTTTGATCTGGGGAATTTGAAACACACGGAAGAACTGTCAATGGTGATGCTGCTTTGAACGTAAGAAGTGAAGTTTTCCGGACGTATAACCGTATTTTTATAATACATTTGCAAACATCTACGTACAGTATTACCTTGGAACGTATTAAATTTGAAGAACGAAGGAATAAGAAGAAAACCAATACTGTGAGTTACGTTAAAGAACGGAAGCACATGCGTATTCGACGTTGCATATTTATATTCTTAAGCGTGCAAATACAGGAGAGAGGTAGAGAGAGAGAGAGAGAGAGAGGGAGAGAGAGGGAGAGAGAGGGAGGGAGAGAGAGGGAGAGAGAGGAGAGAGAGAGAGAGAGAGAGAGAGAGAGAGAGAGAGAGAGAGAGAGAGAGTAAAATGTGATTATAGAAGATTTTGTGACAGAATTTTCGGTACTAATTGAGAACGATCCTAGAATAGAATAAGGAAATAACGCTGAAAAACAGCTTATAAGTTATCTTTTTTTAATTTTGTGAATATTAGTAAAAATTGCAAAATGCAGCAGCTTTACATTCTAACTATTCGAATCATCCATATCTGCAAGTATGTTTTAGGGCGATTACAATTTTGAAATTGCGATATTACCTGTTGATATGCCGTATGGAGGTAACAAGCAAGGTCATTCGATTGAAAATATTTGGTCGCAAGTATAACATTATCAGATACTACGTTTCATTTACATGTTTAATGCAATAGTCTTCAAGAACGTATTTGATCAAATCTATGTATGCCATTTAGAAATTTTCATCACATGAAAAAATACAGCGTTTAAACAGTTTACAGAGGCAGCAACGTCACGTTCAACTATTAAAAGTAATATACATTGGAACGCGACGACAAAAAACAATCCAAGCGCAGGAAGGATGGAAGAGTGATCTATCGGACCTAGCAGTGAAGTCGATATCGAAATCGGCTCTAACGAATTTCAACCGTCAATGTTGGTGGAGAAGTGTATAATCAAAGTAATTTTCTTTGTCTCTGAATTTATCTGTTTACTAGATATTACATTTATTTATTGTTATAATTGATTGGAAAGTAATAAAAATTTATCAGAATGATAGTACTTGTGTTGCTGCTGCGTGTCAAAGTGATAATTTATTAATTTATACTGTATTCAATGAAAATCAAAATATTCTATAAATTACATTGAAACTATTTATTTATTACTGTAGTTACGGAGATATTTTGAAGCTATTTGAAAAATGTTGACTAGTGATTTGAGTCTTGTGCTCTCCCGAAAATTCAATTTAGAGAAAACGAGAAATTCCAGCTGGGTCGAGGCAACATGAGAGGAAGAGAAAGGAAACACCACAAATGGAAGAGAGAAAGTTGAAAAGAAGAAAAGGGAAGATCAAATTGCTTTTCTGGGAAGCGGCTATTGGAGATCGAGTGTGGGAGAGCAAAAAATAATCAATAGGTATCGATTGTGGAATTAGCGGAAATCAGGACACTGGTTTACTCTCATCTCTCCGAAAGACTCCGCGTTACTGCCCTGAGGGGTGTGTTTTTCAATAATATTTTGGCGGCTATTCTTAAGAGAAAATGCAGGACAACAAAAATGCGATCACAACCTCTGCGAAAACCTTCATTCAAACACTCTCGTTTAAATTTCGAAATACGTTATTCATGTTTCGATGTATTAACCTTATAAAATTCTCTAAAGTTGTAACATTTTATAATATTCAAACATTGATCAATTTTGTGAAGCGGTAGTATAATAACTTCGATGTGCATACTCAGTCAATAATAGTGACTTGCTATTCTAATTTGGTGACTTTAAATCTAGGGGATAACACAGCCGCAAGACTAATTACTATTATTAGCCCGAGGGAGGGCGCAGTATCCTGCGCATTAAGCTCATTGAGCATTTGCACTTGTGGTGCATCTTAATATTCTGGTTCGGAAGCGCCACAAGTTCGACCCATTAGTACTGGGATTAATTACTCCGTTTTGGAGTAACGGCGAGCAAGTTGGCAAATTAAATCAATTGATCGACGGAAAGAGCGACATATAAAATAAATTTCCAAGGATTTCATCGCAAATGTTTACACGTGTGTCTCTGGATGTAGACGGTAGCGTCAAATGAGGATTACTCGGCGTCGTCATAAACAATTTTGAAGTGAAATATGTTCTTTGAGTTTTAACAAATAAAAAACTTATAAAAATTACAGAGGATAAATTCATATTTCCAGTTATCATTGTTATATATTATAACATATAATGAAGATTATTTGTGTAAGTGTCATATCTACACATGTTATATACTACAAATTACAGTCGAGTCACCTTTTGCAATTTATTTTGGTTTGTGACCTGAACTAAAAAAGTGTCAGTAACATGAGTGAAAATAAAAAAGTGTAAAAATGACTTTTGCTTAAACTGATATAACAGTCTTTGTGAGTAATGACTGGTGAATTGATTTTGCTTTTCTGTATTTCCAGTGTTTAACAGTTCTACGTCACTACTAAGTCGTGAAAAATTGAGGTGCCCAGAATAAGTAAAGTAAGTAAAGTTGTATTTGAACGTTCCATGGGGTTTCACGCAGGGAAAGGATTTTTTCTAAACTATCTCCTATTTGAAGCAATTTTGTCTTGCTATAAAGAAACATGGGCGTATTGTAGAGTACGTATACCATGTGGACGTAATTAGACTTTCACTAAGGTGACAGTACGATGAATAATGTAATGTATACTAGCTGGGCCTGGGCGTACATTTCACTCTTTGCCTTTGTCTTCACTCTCAACTAAATCATCGCACTGACTGACACGTTACTGTGCGTTACATCATGTAGATTCCTATCTGTTCCGTCCCAGAATAATAGTAATTATTATTATTTTTCTAAAATTTTATTAACTTTGTTACACCAAGAATTGGTGACAATTATTGTCAGGAACGATACACGCATTGAAAATGAGAATTTGAGCTTTTTGAGTGTTTTCTCTTTATTGTTAAACTTTGACTACAACCACGTTAAAGATGACGGTCTTGAGATTCATGTTTACGTAGTAACGGTGATGCAGATGCCGATGAAGCGAAATTTCAACAATAAATATAAAATTTCTCTATTTTCATTACCGATTACCCTGAGCGATACTGACCCGCAGTACACCAGTGCAGGATGAGTTACCTAACAATCTGTCTGAAATGTGATTCGTCATATGAAATTCCCCTCCGCATGTTCATTGGCAAAAAGTAATAATTTTTTGCATGTATTCTAGAAGTTTGCAATATACTTTCTGAAACACCCTGGATAATAAATATAACTAGTGGCCCCCAGTTGCAATATTGCTTTTGTCGAGTTTGTGGAAAAAAATATCCTGAAGCAGCAGGAATTGGTGGTTTTAAACGACAGTCGTGAATACTAAAAGCTCTTTCTTCCACGAGGAATAAGGTCAGTTGTACCATAAGCAGTGACGCGCTGAGTATTGTCTGAATATAATCGTCACGAGGGGCATGAGAAATTGACGTACTCAAATATTTGCATTATGCTGTCAAAATTGAAACTTTTTCATTGTATTTGATTTTTCGAGTTCTTGCTCATAAGAAAAAAACAACAACAAAGACATTTATCACGTGACCGGAAGTTGCTTAGGTTTGGTATTATTCGATAGATTATTTCGTGTTTCCGGGAGCGGCAACGGCTATGAACATTAGTTTCGTATGTACAATGCTTTTTTTTTAAATCACGGATGGTGAATTGCGACAGCAATTACTCGTCGGCTGGCAGAGTTTTCCCATTTAAATATCTTCCATCCACCGGAGCCGCAAGCTCTAAGTTCCCGACAGGATTCTGTCTGATATCGTGCATGCACGTGTAAGTCTATAAAGAATGTGGATAGGTCTAGAAAGAGGAAGTAACGACCGCGCACGGCCCGTGCGTCTGTTATGGTTCAACTTCCTCATTCACCTGGTATTGACACCACGGAAAACTACCGACCAGAGCAGCCTGCCGCAAGAATTCCTCTCCAGGCAGTGACGGAACTCGCCCTTGCTCTTTAGCTCGTATCTTCTCCCCGTCGGAACTCAAACCCTAGAATCTCTCGAGCGCGGGCTCTGCGGTCACCAGTTGCCGCTCTAACCCGCGTCACCGGTGCGCGCGTATTGGAAATTAGTATTAAGATACGCGCGACTGAAGCGAGGTGTCGGCCGAAGGAAGCGCGCCGTGCCGAGTTCCTTTCTTTCGCGCGCTAGCGAATGCTTCGTGTCCGAGGGCACTGGCAGTGCCGCCGCC